ACGCCTTCTTTCTTTGCGTGAACATTTGGGCGGTGTTATGCAAATCTTCCCACACAGTGACGTAGACGTGGGGGCGTGTTTAAACGAGCTGTTTTAGGAGGGTGTGGACAAGTCTTAACTTTTATAAAGAATATATCTCTTTGGATTTGAGACTTTAGTCTTTGCAACTTTACAGATCTTCATGCACCAAGAGCTTGTAACACTCCAAAGAGAAAGGAAAAATTGAAATCGCATCATATGACCCCTTTAAAATGGCAATCTAATACATTCAGTGCTAATGTTTGATTGTGTTATTTTTTTTTCTCAGGGTAATCCCAATGGCCCTGCATGGTGTTGGTGGCTGTTGGCTGTGTTGCCGCTGGAAAACAAAGCCCAGCTGACCATCCTCGCCATGAACGCTCTTAAGGATCGGCTGGTCGCCATCCGCAGGGTCCTCATTTTTGTAACTCGCAAGCGGCCTCGATGATAAATGTGTTCTTGGTCTAAATATGATTATCAAAATGAACCTATAGCTTGGGAATGCTGATTCAGGCTGGGGTCACTGAGGTTTCTTCCAGTGGCCATCTTGGTCGTCATTGCAGCAGGCAACCCTCACCAATTAGTCACCTGGGACATTGTTCAATAAAAATGTTTTGCATCTTGATATGTTAATTTAGGCTCATTAGTTAGCAGTGGTGATTTAAGTTGTAGTCATGCTGTGAGAGAGATCATTATTGATGGCCTACATTAGGAAGTTCTCATTTAGTTCAGGTGCAATCAAATCGTTTACCAGTTTAACAGTAGCAACAAACATGAAGACAGTGGGAACTTAGTTTTTTTCTTAAGCACCTTCGGTCCTTTGAAAATACCACCTCTGTTTTGTGACTAGATGGTGTGTACGACTGACCAAATGCTTCCCATGGGCTTGCAAATATCAATACGGGCCTTATTGTGTGTTAGTTAAAAAAATCCATGTGCTTCAGTTTGGAAATAAGCACTCACCTTTTTTCCATATTGTAAAAGATGATTAAAGGAAAACTTATTTAATATTACATGTACTGTAACCCTGCTTTCTCTGTATCTTTGTTTCTTATACACATTTAGATGCCTAGGTCATTCAGAAACTATGAATTCAGTCAGAAATTGCAATGTTCTGCTGAGGTCCATTCAATTTTCCTCCATGAATTTAAAAAGCCGCACTCTCCAACCTTGAATACAGCCTTAATGATATTCAGTAACAACCACAGGTGTGGTTTTTATATTTCAAGAGTCTGTTTGTGATTTTGTCTTGAATTGAATCTTAATTGGAAAAAAATTGAAAAAATCAGAATGAGTAAATTGTAAACTGGAGCCAAATTGTGTAAAGTCCTACTGTAAAACATGTTTGAACAAGCACCGTTTTAATGCGTATGAAACATCAATTGGAGAGTGCAGAGTGCAATGTGTGGATGGGGGCTTATGTCTATATAACAATCTTTATAGACAATAGGAGGCCTTTGAACGTTCACACTCATTTTTCTTCTCATTGTTCTTGTCTCTGTGATGTGCATGTCTTGTGTATGTCCGTTATCTACCTTTTCCTGTGCAAATTACTACTTAAATGCTGCATTTATGTACATTTGTAAATCAATATGAAATAAAACATTTTATATTTTAAAGCAAAAGATGTTCTGTTTCTATGTGCCTTTTCAAAGCCACTGAATTGAATGAGTCAGAAGTCTGGGACAGTCATTACAATGTTTGCTAAAGGCAGTAATTTTATGTGTTATGATGTTAATAATAGATGTCCCTGTCATTTATGCCTTAAAGGGATAATTCACCCAAAAATGAAAATTCTGTCATTAATTACTCACCCTCATGTCGTTCTAAACCCATAAGACCTCCGTTCATCTTCGGAACACAAATTAAGATATTTTTTATTAATTCTGAGAGCTCTCTGACCCTCCATAGACAGCAATGTAATTACCACGATCAAGGTCCAGAAACGTAGCAAGGAGATCGGTAAAATAATCCATGTGACATCAGCAGTTCAACCATAATATTACGAAGCCATGAGAATACATTTTGTACGCAAAGAAAACAAAAATAACGACTTTATTCAATAATTCGTCTCCTCCGCGTCACCCTAGCGCCATTTTGGAGAATATCCACTGAACGCAAACAGCGTATTCTATTCTGTGTCAGCCGCACCACACGGATACGTTGTTTTCATTCAAATCAAACGTAAACAACATAGAAAACGTATCCGTGTGACACAGCTGACACAGAATAGCATACGCTGTTTGCCTTCAGTGGATACTCTCCAAAATGGTGCTAGGGTGGGGAGACAAATTGTTGAATAAAGTCGTTATTTTTGTTTTCTTTGTGTACAAAAAGTATTCTGGTAGCTTCGTAAAATTATGGTTGAACCGCTGATGTCACATGGATTATTTTACCGATCTCCTTGGTACGTTTCTGGACCTTGATCGTGGTAATTACATTGCTGTCTATGGAGGGTCAGAGAGCTCTAAGAATTAATCAAAAATATCTTAATTTGTGTTTCGAAGATGAATGGAGGTCTTATGTGTTTAGAACGACATGAGGGTGAGTGATTAATGACAGAATTTTAATTTTTAGGTGAACTAACCCTTTAAGAGATTGCATAATATTACATAAAATGTTAAGAATTTAAATCATATTAGTTTTGTTTCATCACAATGTCACAATGTTTCACATTTAAAGTAATTCCATTTTGTCATGAATAATGCTGTATTTGGAAAACATTTCAAGGTTTTTTCATGTGACCTCAATTTCACTATCCTTCCTGATAGTCTGTGAAAATATACTTGGAATATAATTTTAATGAATTCTCAATATTTAAAAAAATGTTTTTGAAAAAAAAAAAAAAAAAAAGATATACAGTGGGTACGGAAAGTATTCAGACCCCCTTCAATTTTTCACTCTTTGTTATATTGCAGCCATTTGCTAAAATCATTTAAGTACATTTTTTTCCTCATTAATGTACACACAGCACCCCATATTGACCCCACTTTATGTATATATATATATATATATATATATATATATATATACTTTCTGATTGTCCATTGCTTTACAGATTTTAATTTGCCCACTGACCAACTGGATCAATGTTATTGCTGACTATGCTTATTGGCAAATTGCTTTGCTAAGGGCTCAGTGATCAGCTCAACTGCATAGGAACTGATCAAGAAGAATGAAATGGTTGTGATCTGTAAGGACTCTATACCCCCACTGCTATATACAGCTGCATTCCACTTCACTTGTAAGCATACACTCATGAACTTCCCTAAGCACTTCCCCTCTGGGGAATCCTGACCATTTTATTGAAGTGTGATCCGCTTTGGGCAAATGGAGGAGGGAAATTTATTTGGACAGACCCTTAATCCCTCGATTCTGACTGAAGGAGCAAGTTGACTTTTGTCACAGCAGATCACACTTAACTCCACCCCACACAACTCTAGTGTATATGAATTAATTTGAAATTTAACCACATAATACTAATAGCTACTGAAGGGATGGATTTACAATCCACTCCTGTTGCATTATATTTAAGACAGGAAAGTGCAAATCTGCAGTGTATAAGCTAAGCTATCTGGCTAATTGATATCTGGGTGCTATGCTAGTATGTAAACTAACTACAACAGACAATAATGGTCATTATAAAATAGTTTAAACAACATATATTTTAACGTGATCGTGTAGGAATTGTAGGACCAGATTTCTCATGACAGCTGGTTGACTGATTCACAGCAAAGGGCAGGGCGCAGCAAGTAAACCAACCTGAGTAAGGATTTCTTACAAGAGTCACAGTTTAGATGGTCTTTTAGATGGAGAAGTCTATCAACCAGTAAAAGACCATGCTAACATTAATAATAATAATAATAATAATAAACACTAAAACATACTAGTCAAGGTGTAATAGTGAATTCTCAGTGAGCACATGGTTGTCATGTATGTAGTAGGTGTGCAGAGCCAGCCCAAGGCATAAGCGAACCAAGCGGCTGCTTAGGGCCCCCATGGCCACCAGGGGGCCCCCAAGAGTACATGAAATGTCAGCTTGATTTTTTTATTTATTTATTTATTTTTATTGATTTATTTTGTGATATATTGTGTCAATGGACAATGGTAATTATACAAAAACAAGCAATATTAAATAATAATACTAAATTATGAAATAATCTATATGTATCATCTTATTATTTCCATAGCGATGCGTCCATAGACTGTATAAGGACACACTTCATAGACAAATCAGAATCAGATCACAGTTTACTGTAGGTTAGTCAGAATCCGCTCTGAACTAATTGTTTTCACACGTTTACAGAGTTCTACACTCACAGATCTTCCCATTATAACAAGAAAAACGGTTTCTCACATAATCCATTTAAAATTTGAAGAAACGTTTTGTTTGTCCACGTATACTGTTTCAGGAATGACAAACGCGAGTGTAAAAAATTACGTGAGTGAATCAGCTGAACTGTTCCACGAGTCATTGCTATGACTGACACTTTTGACAGTGATAAATATTGTAGCAATGGACGGAATGAACTATCTGACAAGCCGATGTCAAAATAGAGCTGTGCGTTAAGTGATGCAGAGTAAATTCAGAGTAACAAACCTACAGCAGCGACAAGTCTGCTGGCTGAATATATTTAGCAGCTCCTACAGTTAAATATAAAATACTTAATGCATTATTATTTAATTATTAGACCATTAATAATTAACTTATTTATTCATACTTTAGTACACTAAAGGTACAAACATTTGGTATAAGTCATTTTATAATAAATCCAAAAGCAAGACGTGACAAAAACTAGGGAGTGGAAATGGCAACTGAGCTGATGAGTGCTCCTCTGCTGCCATCTACTGTTTACAATGGTAATTTCATGTCATTTTCATCTTAAAAGTCTTTGTTTTTTACTAGGAGACACATTTTTGGCAATTTTTTTCATCTTCATGAATAAAAAGTGAATTTTACTGCACAACTGTAGAGTTAAAAAATAATATAGGCTTTAAAATATTTTAAGTGTTTAAAAAAAATTACACAATAGACTAACAGTGGGTAAAGGGCAGTGTGTATTTTTTATTTATTTTTTTATATATATTCATGCATCTCACTCCAGCCAAGCAACCAATGTTGGCAACTCCGATACAATATAATATAACATTTTACTTAGCTAGTTTTAGATGAAAGTTTTTGTCTTCTGAGAAAAAAAAAAACTTTCCTGGGTATATATTTTTGTAATAAAACAATTCTGTTTCATAAAATTGGTACATTGGTAATTGATAACAGCTTAACATCAGGGCTTAATTTGTGCCGGAACAAGCCGGATCCTGATCCGGCGCTATGGATGTGACTGTGAGCGCATAGGAAACCCCCTTTGGAGCATGTGATCATCGAATGGCTTAAACTTTAAAAGATGTGCAAATGATACAGTTTTGTGACGATGCAACAATGACTCGATTATGCAAGTGACAATTCTGTCGAATGTCCCGAAACCTATGGGATTACAATTCTGCCACAATTCTGCGCGCGAAAAACTCAGTTCGCGCGCGTGCAAAACGCACTTTTGCGCGCTCAAAATATGATCTTTCGCGCGCAGAATTGTGGCAGAATTGTAATCCCATAGAAACCCGAGCAAAAGTCTTGTATCGCAGCGTGCAGTAGTGCAGAAAAGATGCGCTGTTGTGAAGCCGCTTTGAGAGTGAAAGAAGACGCGGTACAGCTGAATCACTAACGCTGTTTTCAAATGACTGATTTAATCTGATAGTATGTTTGGATTTATTTACTCATCTAACCTACATGCTCTATTGAATATGTTTGCAGGAATTTCCCTCATTATAAACTCGAAAGCAGATTAAACATAATTCTATTATACAGAGATTTAAGGAAAAAAATCCATGACTTTTCCAAAACTTTTCCAGGCCTGGAAATGGCTGTTTTAAAATTTCATGACTTTTCCATTTTTTTCATGACCGTAAGATGCACGCTGTTAATCAAGTAAGCTGGTCCTCCATTGCGCGAATGCTCCGTTACCTCTCCCACCTCTAATCATGCTGGGTCCGTCACCACTTTGTTCCGGGACCTCGCAATTTACAAATTAAGCACTGCTTAACATTATTTACCTTAGCCTACCTTTGGGGTCTTTGCTATTACATTACAATATCATTATGCCTCAGTTAGCTATTAAGAGTTGTTGTTTTTTATGTACAGATGGCTTGCTGCTGTGTATAAAAATGTATGTTGTTAAAACAATATTCTGTTCTGTAAATGCATTGTCTGCTGGTTTATTTAGCTACTTTTCAGTACACCACATTAAGTATGCCACTTAGTCCTGTAAGACTTTGAATGTTAAAGTGTAAATTAACACCTGACCACTCTTGTGGGTTTGCTACTGATACAATTAAAAATCATAGAAGGGTGAAAACATTGGTATGATGTAAGCAAAACAGCTACAACAAATAAAACTGATAATGGGTGTGTTAGATTTATAGTGTGCGAATAATCAAGCATTGACAATAATCAGTCATATTGACGGCACCGAGGGGCCCCCAAATAAAATTCTGCTAGGGCCCCATAAAGGCTTGGGCCGCGGCCCTGCATGTAGCTGTATTTTTGCATTTGTCCACTGGCTTCCTTGAATCTGTACTGAGCACATGGACATTTTCTGTGTGTTGCCTTGAGTCAGTGTGGCACCTCTCACATTTGTGTCAGTTGCACTGGACTTGCAGCTGTCAGTGTGAAGTAGTTTTACGTCATGGTCATATTTCTATGTCATCATCTTGTACTACCTCTGAAAAACAGGCCTTTATGGAGTGTTTGTTTACATGCAGGTATGTGTGTGTGTCTCTTACATCACACAAAATGACATCTGCTGAGCAACAGGAGATGAATCTTGGTCCGACTGCTTGGTCCCCCACAGGTTTCTTATCACTTGTTTAGCTTCGTACCCTGATATGTTTGCATCATCAACATGAGGAGCCTCAGCACTAGTGACAGCTTATTAACACCATAGCTGATAAGAACTCAAGATGCCAGCTTCACTATTTTATTAACATTTTTGCTTTTACTGCCTAGAAGTGCACTTGCATTGGATGCATTCAGGGACGCGGGAAGTAGGGGTGCTGAGGGGGCTGCAGCACCCCCTGTTTTCACATGGTTGCAAATGCAACGCCAAGTTTGTTAATTTAAATGTATTCAGTTTTAGCATTTAATAATTTATTTGTAATGATCTCTGAAATGTAAATTGTAAGTGGACTATAATAAACCCATATTTATCTTTATAAACATGATTTCTTTTACTTGTGATGTTTTCTATATGGGATGATTAGCCTAATCCTCATGAACACGTGACGCTAAGATATTCGGAAAAACAGGACTCTAGTTTGTGTGATAGGCTAACTCCTATATCGTAGGCATTCACTCATTAAATGGGTTCGTTCAACCAATAAATTTCAATGACTTTTAAGGCTATATTTATGACCTAATGCTACATTATTTTACACAAATGTTCAGATTTATCATAGCATATGCTAAGGAAAATTTATGATTATTAATACTATTTGTTTGCTTTCTAATAAGCACAGGCTTATTACTTATGCCTGAAGTTACTTCATTACTTCAGGCATGAAGTAACATCTGTGCCAGACGTTACTTCATGCAAAGAACATAAGTTAGGCTACATAATCACATAACTGAATGCCAGAATATTAAGTATATTGTAATTTGCTTAGCCAGTATTATAAATTAAACTCAGGACCTGAATTTCGTTTTAGAAACAGTTTTGGTGGAAAACATTCAGGTACAGAAATG